ATTGGATTCAAATTTAATTCCATCCATTACAGTAACCCACTTGTAACCTACTGTACAGCAGAGCGACATCCACTTTCCCGCTTTTTTAAATTCGTTCCTAAATAATTAAAATTACTATTTTTCGTCCTAATTTTAATTTTAAATATCTTTTAGATAAAAAATAAATAAATAAATGTCCTTATATATACTTTTTAGATTTTCTGGTTTCAAAATAAACTTCATATGATTAACCTTGTTCTAAATTGTCAAGCTTATCTATAATAACATTATAATAAACTCTTTTAATTACAAAACTAATGATGATTTTGAAGAATTTTATAGAAATTTGAACTTCATAAATAAATATAATATTTAGGATGTATACTCTTGCAATCTTTCAATTAAAAGACCTCCCTGCAGGATTACTCGTGGTTGTTAGGACGTATATACTTGTATTATATAACACCGTTATTTAGTTTACAGATAATACAATGCATTATAATATCGAGTTATTGACTATAAACATGTACGAAACAATTATTATTCGATTGATATAAAGCAGGTACTTATATAAAGCAAACAAAATCCATTCTAATCTTTTCCGTCTCTCAACGTGCCCCTTCCACCTGTTATATATTTTAATACGTTTCTTTTCGTTTTGCTGCATTATACATATACAAGAGTAGAAATATAATATGTTCTTATAGCTAAATGGGTTCCTGCTACGCGTCACATAATAATTGTTAATTTCAGGTTTCCGCGCATGCGGCAGTTATTGAATTATTTCATGATAGTTCATTTATAATATGCGATACCATTTCGAAATTTTCCTCTTTTTTTTTCCTATATTAATTATAATAGTTACATATATGAACATATACAGTGAAAAGTCTTTATAACGAAACTCGTTACAACGAAGAACTTTATATTACTTAAATGACATTAATTTAAATTATAATGGTTGGTTTGGTTTAAAACCTATTAATTACTCTCTATTACGAAAACTCTCAATAACGAAAGAAATCACATGGTCCCTTTAAGTCTGTTATAGAGTTTTCACTGTATATATTATGCATGACGTACGACGTTTGTAACTTATTTAAAAGCTATGATGAAAATTCTTCGAATAATGTTTTGAAAACATATTTCTCCATATAGTGTCTATAAACTTTTGCATAATATGTTTGAAATATACATATCACATTTTACGGAACGATCAATCTTACAATATTAATTTTTTTTTTTTGATATCAAATATAGTTTAATTTCTTTATCATTAAGTAAAAATAAATGCAATAAACCAATATACTTTATATTTATTGCTGCTTCTGCAGCGTGCGTCTGTTTATATTTCGTATTTTTGTAGGTAAATTTATTGGTTGTATCATGATGTCTTGTCTCTTGTAAGACTTTTTCCTATACATTGCTCCCAAAGCTCTTACTAGTAAAACGTCAAATTTGGCATGCTTGTTTTAAGGTCACGTCTCGAGTTTGTGGCTCATACATACGCATAATATTGGTTTATTAGACAAAGCCATTCTTAACTAAACATCAATCTAGAATCATATATACCGGCAGTGCTCTTTAATTCAGGGTTTAGGTACTYAACGTGGAATCAAACATGTGTGATCTATATGATTAACCGAAAATTAAGTGTTTTTAATTTAAATGTTAAATTAATAATTTTCAATGATACAAATATTGTAAAATTAATGCAACCAAAGTTATGAGTTGGCTTTCTCTGCAAAACTTTGAGCTGCAAATTATTCGTAATTCTTATTTTTATAATATCAATTCAATTCTACATTGCTCTATCCTCTCTACCCCCTTTTTGCTGACAAAATTGCGTTTAACTTTGGATTTTTTAAATTATAAGTAAATTATAGATATATGACCGGAAGCATAAAAACACAAAAATCTTTTAAAAAATATCAAATATCAATATAAGAAAAAAGAATAATATATGATATTATGAACCCCAGTGGCGTATTTAGGGGCAGGCTATGAGGCTAGAGCCTAGGGTGGCTTTTTTGAGGAGGTGGCCTATTTTTATAATTAAGAGATTGGTACTTGGAAAAATTATTTTAATATATTTTATAAATTAAGATGTTTTGATTATTGATACATGTGACATGTCGTTAAGTTCATGTAAAACAAATTTATGAGTGTTTTCTAAAAACATAACTGTTATCGGAAAAGTCAACAATAATATTGTAAAACAATTAAAAAAAACTATCAGGCCTGCAGAAGTATGTATTTTTTAAAATTTGTTTATTTTAAAGATTTAATATAAATTATTTTAATAAAAATGTGCACACAAAAATGTATCATGAAAGGTTCAGACCAAATATTGTTGATTTTTTGGTGTCACGAGGTAAGGATAGGAGCTTCAGAATAATTTAGCTTATGGGTGCCAAAAAAGCTAAATACGCCACTGATGATCCCCAGGAAAAATTCTTAACTACTTCATTGCAGTATAGAACCTGTATTAGTCTGTGGCTTGTCGAGTATCTAATTGACATTATGTACCTATAGGAAAAAATGGACGACATATATAGTGATTAAATTAGGTTAAATTTTGGTAATTACCCATAGGTATATTATTATAAATGATTATATACTAGTCGTGTTAAACATCATTTTTTGTTACTTGCTTGTGTATTTAATGAATATTCGCCAATCATTGATTCGTTGTTCTTACTAGTCTTATCTTATAGGATGGTTTTTATTCGTACAGCATAATTTAACAGTTTCGTTTGACTCAGTAAGTCACTCGTGGTTTCTTGTTATAATTATTGGTTAAATAACAGTTGCAAGAATCAAAAAAGTTACAAATAATCGCATTCACATAATCATAGTCAAATCAAAATAGTAAATACTCCTGAGCATAAGATATTACGAGTTGGAATACATATGCGCATTGTATCAGATCGTTGTATTAATAAAACAAATTGGACCTCATGTATAACAGCGGGGTAGCGTGCATTATTATGTATATTGTTGTTTAAATCTTTGATGGTATCATCCATTATTTTTTCAATAATCCTGAATTTACTCCGGCTATTGATGGGCACACGGTGTAAATAACGAATAAAATACTTAACACGGATATTCGTACTAGTTTAAGTATATACTTTGTACTATATTAGTCATAACTCATAAAAAACCCGGCTGAGTACTGCCTACTTGATGGGAGAAAATCCATGATGCTTAGGTATTGTATTTAGTATTTACCGATAGTTGTAAACATATATTGTATTTACCTACGTGGCGAGGAAATAAAAACCAAATTCAATATTTATACTAGAACAGGCCTGCATTAATAATCGATACATTTAAATTTTCTGTAAGTTTATCCATAATTATAATTAATCTTTGTTTCAACTGAAAAATATATTGCGCGATACTGGGAAAATAATCGTAACGATGATCCATCATTTTGGTACCGATATATGCCACACTATCACGTGCAGCTAGATAATCGCTCAACTGTATATCTATATATATTAATATTTCAACTATTAGGGGATGGTGATCTCACTGATCTGTTATACGTTTTTACAATGTACGAGTGTGTAATGTGTAGACAATTTTGGGATATAGAAAATTACCGGACGGAATACTAACAAAATATTCGTATAGTTGTTTATTAATATAAATAGGTACCTAACATAAAACTACTCATTTTTTCGGAATCTTGTAAAACTCGTAAAACTATTGACAAGAATCTTATTTTTAAAAATACATATTATGTTTGATACACTTACTGTCTCCTTCTATATCTAACGTGCAGTCTATGAAATTTGGGTTAATGTTACAGTTTAAACTTGAATACGTTTTCAAGTTAATATCAAATTCTACATATCATTTTTGATCAAATATTATTTTCTAAGGAAAATGTTGAGGCGTTTTATACGTTTCGTGCTGTATTATTTTGCTTACTGGAATTTCGCTTTATATATATGTACAAAAATATTATATGTTTATAACTTGGATCACGTATCATATTATGATATGAACCTAAAGTTCATACGAAATGTAAATCCATTTCATTAGAATTTATTCATCTATATGCAATTTGTGTTCACAGGTCTGGGCTTTGGTATGATCTATCTGCCTGCCATCGTGAGCGTGACGTGCTATTTCGATAAGTTCAGGTCACTGGCTACCGGTATCGCCGTTTGCGGTTCCGGGCTGGGCACGTTCATCTTCTCACCGTTGGTCGATTTCTTGGTGAAAGGGTACGGCTGGAAGATCACCTTGTCCGTCATATCGGGCCTGGTGTTCATGTGTACATTGTTCGGCATGCTGTTCCGGCCGCTGAACGCTACCAAATCCGACGACGATGGTGACGATAACGGTGAAAGACCGGCGCTGATGAACGGAGCCGTGACCAACACAGTCGTGCTGAACATCGTCGAACCACCGGCGGCCGAAGGACAGTCGTTAAACAATGTTATTGTTGGTAGCGTGGACACGGCCACTCGGTCATACGATCACATACCCAATTCGGACGATGACGACGAGTGGCGTGGCGCTGGCCACGACCAGACCGAGATATCGCACGACACGCTGCTGTTGTCGGACGGCAGGAGGACCAGCAAAAGCTCGACCACGGCCGCAGCCACGTCCAATGCAGTGGTTGACTCCCCAGCTGCATCATTCGGCAATGATCTGGACAGACAGTCGCGGTTCACGCTCAGTCAGCCAGAGCTGATCGCCGGTTCCGGTGGCCGACACAGCTGTCGGCTCAACACTCGGCAGCGGAACGAACTGTGCTACGCCAGTCAGAATCTAAAGCCATCCGCGAATGGTGGCAGCGGCGGTATCATGTACCAGAAAGACATATTTTACAGCGGCAGTCTGGTCAACTTAAACGTGAACCGCAGGAGGTTAGTAGATTATGCTAATAATGCCATACTTATAATGTTTGCTATATGGTGCAGGTTTGATCCATCTTCTGACCACAATTACTTTTATATTTTTTATTTTATAATATTGATTTACCGTACACACGGCGTAAACTTTAAAAATATTTTTTTACACAAACATTTTTTTATTCTAAATATGGCCTCATAAAAATATTAAATAGTATTCGTTTAAAATGTTTTTGTTAACATTTAGTGGTATAAATATTTGAAACTATATTAGCAAACGTGGTTTTCAATATCGATGTAGCTATTTATGAATCACACTGTATACGTATCTAACTATAAATTGTACGTGTAATGCAGTGGTGTTATTAGGATAAACAATTATTTAACTTAAAAATCAAGTTGTCTTTAATGTTTACGCCGTGTTGAAAATTATACCTATAAATATATAATTTAAATAAAGTTTGAAAAAATATCTTCTATGTAAAATTTTAGACTGTGGTATACTATTTTCCCTAGATCTCATAATCATTATATATTTCATAGGAGTGGGTTCCTCTTTAACACAAATTTTAAGTTGTAGCATTGTAAATATACTTGGAAATGTGGACGGTGAGGACTTAATTGTACTAATATTTTGTACTGATCTAGTTATAACTAAATCATATATATGATTACATGTAGATAGTCCAATGTTGTTCACGCTGATAAATGACCGATGCTCGGTAAATATTGCAAATAGCTTATACAACCTATATTTAATACTATATGCGTATTGCATACCTAAAAATAAAAACGATCGTTTATTGAGGTAAGAACGTAATTAATATGATGCAAATCATTTACTAAATCAAATATAATATTAGTATATATTGGTATTAACTATTTATATCTATTAATACACATAGATAATACAAGTCAAATATTTTGAGAAAAAATTAATGCTCTAATACTATAGTAGAAGTAGGTATTTTTGGTGCAAATTAATACAAATTATTCAGTTTGTTTTAACGGAGCTATTGATTTTAGAATAATGTTTTCTAAAAATTTTCGGTAAGTTTCTTATTAATAATCACAGAAATAATTACCATAAAACAACAGAAGAACGAAAATATTTCAGAATAGTTTTCGACCGCATTGATTTTGTTTGCGTGTGTTGTACTTAAAAAAAAAAATACATATTTGTAGGTACTTGAAATTTGTGCACAAACATTCATATCAACAATTTCTAGCTATAGTTTAATCTTAAATATATTTATCCGGTTCCTCTAGGGTTTTCGTTTAAATTTGTAAAATCTCTAATCATTAAAGTGATAAAATACTCAGCATTTAGATTGTTTAAAAAATCTGAAAATGTAAGTAGTTATTATAGTTTATAGTTGTTTCATATAATGAGATACATATATATTTAGTTTATGAATACATAATAGCAAAAATGGGCTTCAAGTTTTTACTAAAACAATTATAAAAGTTCAGGTTTTACAGTTTCGTTAATTTAAATAATATACCTAGTGTTTACTTTTAACTTTAATAATTTAATGTCATTAATTAATTGACTTTTAAGTTTAATCAATTTAAAAAAAAAAACAATTTTTTGCAAAAATTACGTTTTGGATAGGCAAAAAGTTTTTATTAATAACCTTGCTTAATTAAAAACTAGAATTTTTATCATTAGTTTCTTTTAAAAAAAATAATAAGTAATTTTAATTCTAGTGTAAACTTATAATAAAATCTTTTATATCCGTTTATTTGGTTTTTAAGGTTAAAAATACATAAAAAAGAAAAGTAAAAAAGTAATTAATTAGTTAGAAAATTAATATAATATCTTTCCTTATATTTAAATGAAAAAACTGACTAACTGATTACATCAATGCATAGTCTAAACGGCTAAACCGCTGGGTCTATAAATGTGTAATGTTGCATAAGATTCTTTATTCCATGATTAAGTCTAGCATCAAAAAATTATTTTCGGAATTTCAACCACTAAAGAATTCAATGTGGTGTCAAAATTAGTATTGTTTTTCACGGGTTGGCTCTAGAACCATTTATTCAATAATTTAAACGGGGTTCATTAAGTTAATTTATGAAGMACATTATGCCCAACAACTGAGCAAGTTCTTTCTTTTTTTTTCATCATGTAATATGCAATCTGTACAATTTAGGCACTATAATCATATGCGAGAAAAGTAAAACGAAAAATAAAGAAAAAAAAAACAGACAAGAAAGATGTGATTAAAGAAGCCACTCATTAGTGACACTTTAGCTGTTGTTGATATGCATCGTTATATTAATTTAGAGAAGGTCACGACACCATGATCTTTTAAACCTGCGTTGTTGATTTCCAGGAATAGTTGGGATGGAGGGAGTTTTTATGAGTGGATTATAGTGATTTGCAAGTTTGAGGTGAAATCTATCGTAGAAAGATTTGGCTTCTTCGTTAATTRTTTTTATATGAAGGTCGTTATGGAGCGTAAGAAATGAAACGAAATAAGGGGCATTTGTAATTTTGCGAAGTGAAATATTTTGGAAAGTTTGAATTTTGTTGGTATAAGATTTTTTGGCCGCTCCCCAGATTTGTAGTCCGTAAGTAAGTCCATATAGGTTTAAAAGAGATTTATATATTATTGTTTTTGTTTTTAATTTTGTGCATTGTTTAGAATAGAGTGATTTGAGTATGCGGAAGCGGGAGTTTAGTTGGAGTATTTTTGTTTTTAAATGCATATTCCATGTTAAGCATTTGTCAAGATGAAGACCTAAGTATTTGACCGTGTCAGAGGTAGGGTTGGAGTATTATTTATGAAAATGTTGGGGCAGTGATGATCTTGTTTTAGAGTGAAGGTAATGTGGACTGATTTTGAGCTATTAATTTTTACCCTCTATTTTTTGTACCAGTCCGCCATTAGGTCCAGATGGAGTTGAAGTGTAAATGAAGCTATTACTGGGTTTTCATGCATTGACCTAATAGCTTTGTCGTCAGCATAATCAGCTACTAGAGTATCAGCAAGTGTGGGTTGATCGAAGACGAAAATATTGAATAATATAGGGGTATATTGAACCTTGCGGTACGCTTGCCTTTATTGTTGATATATAGGAGAAGGCTGAGCCGTATCGAATTTGAAAATGGCGAATGTCTAGATATAATTTTATTAACAGGAAAAGTGCTGAAGGAAGGCACTTCCTGAGTTTAAATAACAAATCCTGTCAAATGCTTGGGAGATGTCTTAAAAAGCACTAGTGCAGTATTGTTTTTTTTTTTTTTAGAGAGGAAGAGATAACATCCACGACTCTATGAACTTTGTGAATTGTGCTATGCTTGCATTGAAAATCAAATTGAGATTGAGGGAGAACATTATTGAGGATGATGTGTGAGGATAAACATTTAAGAATGAGTTTAGTTTATCGCAAAAAAAGGGCAGGAGACTAATTAGTCTGAAAGAGGCAGGGTCATCGGGTGCCTTACCCGGTTTAGTAGACATAATAATGTGGGAAGATTTCCATAATATTGGAAAATAAGAAAGTCTTATGATTGAATTTATTATTTAAGTTAGAAAAACTGGATTTTTTGGAAGACATCTAGCACCTTCTCCTGTTATTAGATTGTATTCGGCTGATTTTTTTTATTTAGGTAGATTTGCGAATTTTACCTCGTTTGGAGTAACACATTTTTCTAGTTGGCTTTCTAGAAGAGAAGAGTTTAGAAATGCGTTAACTCGGTTGCTATGATGGAGACAGTGCCGTAGAAACCGCCGGTGCAGGCGGTGCAATACACCGGGGCACTTGATCTTGAAAGGGTCCTATGCCCTTACCAACTATCTGATATAATGTGACCTAAAATATACAACAAAGAAAAAAGAAAATTATGTTATAAAATTTTGGGGCACCTACACCAATTGGCAATTTGCACCGGGGCAAACAAGTATCTAGCTACGGCACTGGATGGAGATCTATTATGTCAATGTGTGGGACTGGAAAATATTTGACAAATATTTTTGAAACAATTCCGTTTTATCAGAATCTGAGATAGCAAGCGTGTCATCACTTTTTTTTATAGGTAGGGAAAGATTTTTGTATTGGACCAATTTTTTTGTTTCTTTCCAGAGACTACTATTGGCCGTAGAAAGTTTTGATAATTTTTCTTCTAGTTTGTTTGATTTTAGTTTGGCCAGAGTCCTTTTTTAGAGAGTTAGCTAACTTATTGTGTAATGATTTATGTGATTGTAAGCGTGCGTGTTGATACTGAGTTCGTGCCCTGCGTTTTTCTACTATGAGAGAACAAATTTGGGTTGGTAGTATCTGAGAACAACAGTGATTTTGAGTGGGTTTATTTGTTGTAGTTGTTGATGCAACTGTTGCTGAGTGAATTATTTTGGTAAGATTGTTAACTGCTTCATCAATATCAGTATTGATTTTTAGTCTAACTTTTAGATTAATTTGTTGGTGGACTATATTGTGAAACATGTGTCGATCAGTTGAAGCAGGAAAATGTTTAGGTGATTGGGTGGTTAAAAGTGGATAACCGGATATATTTAGAAGAACCAATGAGCGATCAGAACTTAGGTTTAAAATATTGTTAGTAAGGCAATAAAAGTTAGCAGGGAGTTTTGAAATGAAAATATCCGGAATGTCTGTTTTTTTAAATTGAGAAAATGGCTAATATGTTGGTCCAGGGGGTGAGAGGATTTTATAATTTTATACACGTCAGTAAAATTATACAAGAGACTACCACGTGGGTTGTTCAATTGGCATCGATTGGTGTTTATCATTGTAGTTTCCTCATAAAATGAAATTATTGAAGGTGTTATTTATTGTTTCGAAATAGTTGGACCAATTGTTTAAGGTTATATTATGCTTAGGGGTTATTAAGGTTATGTCGATTCGACGGTTGTATAAAACATGTTGAAGTTCCAAGATGTGGTTTTTAAAAATTGGCATTAAAAAGTAAAATTATAAGGGATCTATTAGCTTGAGAATTAATCATTTTTTATCTTTGAGTAAGGATGATATTACTTGTGTAAGGA